AACCGCATAGGCATTAACTGTGGTCTCCCCAAGGTGGTGCATGCCTGAGACTTGATCAAATGTAGAAAAGCTTGGGGGCAGGACAAAGGGGCAAGAAGTACAGGCTGGGGTGGGGAGCTGTCAGGTTACATTTGAGGAAGTTGGTAGAAACCTGAAGAGAACTGGTTGTAGTAGTTGTGGCTGAAGTGATTTGTGAGTGTGTATATGTCGGGGGGAGGTGGATAAGAAGATGTGTAATGGTACATATGACGTACCCATACAGTGATGCCTCAGGAACATGGGGACCAGGAGTTGGGATGTGAGAAAGGGCATGACCCACAGTGTTGTGTGGGGTTATTGATACATTATCCTTTTGCCAACATCCAGCACTGCTATGCAGAATTCAGATGCTTTCACACTGTGCTCTTTCTGCCAAAGAAAAAAAAAAAGTGATTCAAAATGCATTTTTAAATTTTACCTCACAAACACCTATTAATTTTATATTGTTGTGTACATTTAATTTGTTAGTCCCTCAAAGTTATTTATTAGAGTCGTAATAATTATGACCATTGAGATCTGTTAATAAAGACTCAAAATATAAAAATCTTTTCTTTCAAAATATAAAAACATTAATATTATGAAAACATATATGTATATGCTACATAAAACAGAACAGAATAATGTAATTATTTATAAGGAGTCTTCAGTTTGATTCTGTTCTCATCATGACCCACATCTTCACCGTTTGTTGGTAGTGGAGTTCTATTTTCCCAGTATTCACAGAAGAGGTGATGAAGAGATAGTCTAACTCCAGCTCTGCTGGCAGCTATGGCTCCCTCCAGTCAGAGACACAGAGCAAACTGGGAGAACATTTATAAGAGCAAGTATTTAAATGTGTGGTGCAATAACGTAATCAATACCACATCAGCTGCTGTCCAACCCAGTAGTCTGTGAAATGGTCAAGCACAATATTGGACCCAGAGGAAATCGAAGGAGAGCCACTGATCAAAGAATGCTCTTTTTTGTTGTTGTTGTTATTATTACAGAAAGACATAAAAATGCACATAAATAAACATTTAAGTATTTGATTTAAATGTTTGGTTTTGTTGGTTTAAATATATCATGAGTTTCATTATGTCAAGCAGAGGAGTCTTTTTATTTTATTTTATTTTATTTTTTCACAGAAGTCTTTTTAAATCGAGATTCTGAAAAACCTTTCAACTTGTGTGATTTGAAGAAAGATAACTGGTACTGTTTTTTTAGTCATTCTTGATAATTATTACTATTGAGTTCTAATGAAGAGAATTAGAAAGTATTCCCCTACTTGAGACTCCTTCAAATCAGCAGGTATATAGGACTTCCTCATCCGTAAAATAGGTATTATAATTGTGTCTTTGGTTTAATATACATAATGAGATTAGAGCAGTACCTGGAACTTAGAAAGCTCTCAGCAAATGTTAGTTATTAATCTTATTATGTTTGTGTACTACAACCTGGGCTATTAGATACTTATCTAAATGTAGGTAGTTAAAAACATCCAAACATTCCAAGCAGATTACAAGCTGAATAAAAATATCATTAGCAACACAATAACTATCTTTAAACCCCAAACTTTAAAATCAGAGATAATGTCTGATTAAAAAACCAGGGGCACCCGGGTGGCTCAGTCAGTTAAGCATCTGCCTTCAGCTCAGGTCATGATCCCAAGGTCCTGGAATTGAGCCCCACATTGGGCTCTGTGCTCAGCAGGGAGTCTGCTTCTCCCTCTCTCTCTGCCCCTCCTTCCGTTCATGCTCTCTTGCTCTCTCTCTCTCTCTCAAGTAAATAAGTAAATATTCTTAAAAAAAAAAACAACCCAATAATATGGAAATTCTAGGAAACATCCTCAATAATCCCTCAGATAGTCTCAATGTATATTTTCCAAAATGAAGCAGATCAGGGGCAAATTCCTTCATTTATTCAGCAGATCTTTCGTGAGTTCCTAAAATTTGCCAATGTATTAGGTGTAAAAGATTCATCAGTAATTAAGACAGAGTCTCTGACCTCAGTGACCTTAAATGAGAAAAACAAGACAATGAAAAAGTAAGTAAACACATAAACAAAGTAATTATGGATTGTAATAAGGATTAAAAAAAAAACAGTGATGAGAGATGATAGCTGTGGGAAGACATTCTAAATGGAGGTCAGTGAAAATTTCTCCGAGGAGGTGATATTTGGGCCAAATTTAAAGATAAGAGTACACCAGTCAAGTGAAATAATGGGGGTCAGAGTCATAGGAAGCATTTAAAATAGAAAGACCAACAAATACAAAGGCATAGCAGTAAGAGAAGGTTTGGTGCGTTCAAGCAATAGGAAAACCATATACTTGGGCTATCATGGAGTAAAGGAGAAAATTGTATGGAGGGAGGTTGAAGAGGAGGACAAACCCACGGTTAAGAATTTGGCTTTATTCTGAGAGAAATGGAATGCCACTGAAGAGTTTTAAGCAAGGGGTAATATAATCTAAATTATGTTTTAAAACATATGGCTATTTTATGGAAAATGGGTAGCTGGTGTTGTTGGAAGTGTGATGAAAAGAAGAGCAATGCAGTGACTCTGGAAGTAGTATCGGGGAGAGATCCTGGTGCTCTGGAATGTGGTGGTTGTACAAATGGAGAGCAGTGAACTGACTTGAGATGTATATTGGAGCTGGAACCAACAAGACTTGCTGACAGATAATAGGGGATGGAGAAAGAAAAAATTCATTGATTCTGGCTTGAATGACTCAGAGGACTGTGATTCTGTCTCCTGAAATGGGAAAGGGGGTAGGGGAGGGGCTATGTTTTGCTCTTATGAGGTGCCTATTACATGTTCTAGGAGTTTTCTTTTCTTTTCCATTTATTTATTTATTTATTTGTTTGTTTGTTTGTTTGTTTGACAGACAGAGATCACAAGTAGGCAGAGAGGCAGGCAGGGGGTGGGGAGTGGTGGGAAGCAGACTCCCTGTTGAGCAGAGATCCTGATTTGGGGCTCGATCCGAGGACCCTGGGATCATGACCTCAGCTAATTGAAGAGGTTTAACCCACTGAGCCACCCAGGCGCCCCTAGGAGTTTTCAATTAGGCAGTGGTGAGGTCTGGATTTAGATCGAGGTATACAGTTGGAAACTGTTACCCTAGATGGTATTTAAAAGTGTGGGACTAAATGTGACCATCAAAGGATGCTGCTGAAGAAATAATTATAGCAACAAAAAAAGTGAGCAAGGACTTGGCAATAAAAGTTTTTGGTGACTTAATAGATTGGAAAGTTTGAAGAGTGAATTAAAAATAAAGAAGCAGATACAGATGACTCATTTAAGGAGTTTTGCTGTGAAGGAAGGAGAGAATGAAAGTGTTTGCTGGATTCAAGGAGGTATGTGGTTAAGGGAGTTTTGTTTTTTTAAGATGGGAGATAGAAAAAATACGTACTGATGGGAATGATCTAGCAGAAGCGGTGGATGGATAGCAGTGCTGAACTGACGGCAAAAATCCTTGAGAAGGTGAGAGAGTTGGAATAAAAGCACATGTGGAAACAATTGTTTTGATAGGAATAAAGACACTTTTAAAACTGAAAACAGAGAAAACATGTGTAGAGATGATGATGGCACCATGATGGAATTCCGATTGAGTACTTTCTATTTTTTTCCAATGACTTTGAGGAAAGACCCTTACCTGAGAAGGTTAGAGAAGGGGTTTGCTGAGAAAGTTAGGTCATTTTAAGAAAGTGGGGAAATGAAGTTACTTGGGAAAGTTGCTAGGAACTGATGACCAATCATTTTATATTTGTTATCATGAAGTTGAGATGAAATCAACAAGCCAATGTGTGCTATTTGCTAGCAGCAAGTAGCCACAGTATGGCAGGCAGACAAAAGGAGGACAACAAGAAAGAGTTGTTGTTTCAGTTAAATACAATGAAGCTATGATGAGGACGTTGAGGGAGTCTCCAAGAGCATGAATTTAGTCATGGACCCCAGGATCTAGCCTGAATGAGAAGGAAAGTAAAGACAGAAAAGTGGTGAAAAAAAATAATGAAACTATGGATGGAGATCATGGTGATGTAGAAGAATTAATGAAGTGGATGCTCTAGGGGAGTGAGCTGGAAGAGAAGGTTTCCAATGGGGATTTTGGTGGTGATGAATTTACAGACAAATGCAAGGTCTTGGTTATAACAGTAGGAGTGGATGGCTAAGATGGCAGAGAAGTGTTTGAAAGTGAAATCAAAGACCTAGTAAGTAAACTGGAATTTTTGGTGAGTCATTCATATGGCTGCTGAAATTCCAAGGAATGATGAATGGTGTAGGGTGGAAAGAATGTAGGTAGTCAAGTAAAAATATCATCAATAACTGAGAGGTCCTTCATAAGTAGAACCATAAAGGAGAGAAACAAGAATGTGGGTGGCATAGCAAGATGGCATAGCTTCAAAGGAATTGTGGGTTTTGAAAGCTTTTGGAGAAATAAATGGTTTAGAAGCAGCAATATGGATCAAAAAGGACACTTTTCAGGTGTTTAGGCTTCTTTCTGGTCTCTGAGACAGCTACAGAAAACAATTTCAGATTAGTAGAGGGGAAAAGGGGCATGGATGAAGAAAGCACATTTCTAGTAGCTGGTTATAGACTTTTTTTTTAGATTTCATTGCAGAGGGCAAAATATCTCCTTAGAAAACAGTGGGGGATATCTCTGTTATTTTTAGTCTGAATTCTGAATGACTGTAGACATAGAGCCTGTATTAGCATTCTCATATAAGAAATTGGTCACAACACATACTTGTATGAGAAAAGAATAGCATGGGGTTGGAAAAAATAAATGGACAATAAAAGAAGTAAAGAGAGGTAAGAGGCTAGGGGCTTCACTAATTCTTAGTGAGGGAATTTAATATCAGGATCTCATTGTTTATTTATAGTTTTTATGTCATTATGCTAACATATATACAATAACCTTTTAAATTTCAATTTCCTAATGTTGGATTCAGTTACTCTCAATAACTTTTTGCTTTTCTTCTCCCTAGGGTCCCAAGATAAAGAATACCTCCCAATACTGTTAAATATAGATATCTGGACTGAATTGAACTTATATGACAATTGCAGTCAAGATTCTGGAACTCAGAATAGGCAAACCAGGTAAGCTGTGTCAATTTTAGAATGTTGTTTTAATAAGGCTTCTTCCTGTCTGGGTTGGCTACATTTTACATATACAATCACTAGGCTGTGAGTATGAAGAATTATTGCCATGACAACCAGGACTGAATGACTTGTCTTTCAGAAATGGTAACAACTCAGCATGTTGGTAGATGATACCTGAGGTGCTCAGTGACTTTCTAGAAGGTCATACAGTTTCCTCAATGGTTCTCAGTCATGTGGAAAGACCAGTCATAAGGAAGAATGTGAGTTAAGTTCTAGTCATGCCTCTCCATGATCCAAACGTGGAACCTCAGGCAAGCCTACTGGGGCCTCAGTTTCTTCATCTGTTTAATAGGAAGCTGTAGGCTAGATAACATAATCTTTAAGATTGTCTATAGTTCTAAATTTGTCTCATTTCATGGATTTATATATTATGAGCATATGGGGTAAGAGAATATATCTTCTTACTCTGCCATCATGTCATCACTTCTAAACATTCTGTGAACTCTTTCTGTCTTACCTTCAGAACTGACAACCTACTCTCCCGATTTTGATTACAAAATAATAACTCAAAACTCTTGGGGGTTAAAAATAATTAATGAATAAAGACGATTCTAAATGTTTTTTGAGCAATTGCAGCTTTATTGGGCTGCAAGGATAATTTTTTTTTCAAGGTAATGGATGTGATGGGTTGAAGTCATTTGATACACATGTTTACATTGGAATTTTGGTAAACATCAAAGCATGTACTTCAACCAGCAGTTGATTTTGATCCCAATTGTTCTATTGTTCTATATTATTCTATATTGTTCTTTTGTTCACAATAGAAATGTGAACTAACTCTGCTTTGCGAATTTATTCTTTGTTCTTCCTGGTTGTGTGTAGTGGCTGGCAATCCATGTTAGTGATCATTTATACAATAATATTATATAATAGCTATCTAGCACCTGATTTTATGTAATATAAAGCAATAATTCATAATGAACAGTTTAATCTGTTTCTGGTCATGTGCCCTAGCTCTTCGTTATTTGCAAAGCTAGCTATGATAGTATGGTTTAGTAGTCTGATGTCCTCTTTATTCTGAAACACAGATTGACTCAAGTTAAGATGCTCTCTTGCTCAAAGGGCTTTGAAAGAACTTTTCCATAACACTTAGTCATTGCCTTTTTCTTAATCCCTCCTCCCCTAGCTTGTAATTAGGCTCTTTGGGTAACTGTAATTATCCTTTTCTTGGAGGGAGGGCACATAGTATCAACTTGTGGGTTGCTTGCTATAGAGACCCAAATATGAACTTGTTTCTTTTGGTTCGTATTTCTATTGCACTGTTGGGAGGTGATGTTGACTCAGGTTTGTCTTCTTATATTGGTCCCTCTTATCTGTCCACTCTTTCATCTGTATTTCCTATTCTTCTGTCTTTATTCCCTACAATTTCCTTAATATCCTTTCCTTTTATCAGGTCTTCCAATCTTTCCTTTCCCATTCCCCTAAATCTTCCTAGACTGTGATTTGAATTTATATGCTTTTCTTCATTATTTTCATTTTACTTACAAGCTCACATGTTCATTACCACAGCAGGCTTCATGGGCATGAGACCTATGCAGTTACATGGACCCCACACTGAGAAGGCCTCATGCTTGGTTGAATGCTTTGCTGTTGCCACCTTGAAATTTTTAATAAGCTTTAAACAAGGACCTCTGCCTGTTCTTTTTGCAGTGGGCCCCACAAATTAGATAGCTGTTGCTGATTGTAGCTATTTCCCCCCCTTTCTAGTTGGGTAAGTGGTTTTGTTTTAGTTCGTCTCTTTTTCATTCCTCATCATATTTTTTTATTTATGGTCTTCCTGTGGTACATCATTTTGACTGCTATTTTAATATAGCCATATATAGCTCTGTTTATTTCTCACATCCGTCAGGAACATTTAGCAGTATATAAAAATAGTATATGGTCAACTTTTGATTGGCCACTCAGACTAAAGGAGAGGGGAATGAGGGAATCAATGAAGATTACAATTCATATAGGGAGTAATCATTTTGGAGAACATTGTGTGGTTTTTCACCTTTAGGAGAATTACCTTTTAATTCATGTTTGCTCAGGTTAATTGGTTTGCACTCCCTGAATACATAATAATTGGTGGCTGGGGAGCCTGCTGAGTGGCATAGGCTAGCTAACCTGAGGTTAAGTATCTCCGCTAATGAAGAAGACTGATCCCGTCTTTTCTGTTTATAGACATATGAAAAAATGAATTATTTTTTGGTTTTAGCAAGTTTACTTGAGGGGTTTAGTAGGATATAAAGGCTTTTCTAATAATATCCCATCACTTTTTTTTGGTTTTGTCAAACCAAATGGCTATTCTTGCCTTTTTACCTGGTGGCAGATTGAGTCACCTTAGTCTGTTCTGCCCAGAAGCATTGAAATAGTAATGAAGTCTGATGTGCCCCCGGGTTGATCTAGCTGCCTAGGTGTTAATTATCTTGGTTTTCTTGTTGTTGTTTTGTTTTTTTTTTTTAATTTTAATTTTTATTTTTAGCACACCTTCTCATATCCCTTATTAGGTGTCACTGTTCTAACCATTTTAAAAATCCAAATTCAATTAATCCTAGGAATTCAGTGCTATTATTTACCTCCATCCTTTGTTTGGAGAAACAGAAGCACAAATAAGAGATATAACTTTCCCAAAGACACAGTCATTAAGTGCTAGCATGAGGATTTGAACCCAGTTAGTCTGTCCTGGGTCTCAGCAGCATGCTGCTGTTCTAATGCATGATCTGCTTAATTTTATCCATTCGGATCCTTAGAGAGTTGGAAATCTAGGTGACTAATGAAATAAAATCTTATCATAGTAAAGGACTTCCTAAAAGTCTCTACTTCTTTAACTTATCGTCAGTTGGCAATTTATAACAACATGTAAGGGAATGTGTAAAAAGACCTAGGCAGACGTAGGTATTAAAAGTGCATGTGACTCTAAAGCAGATATCCATGAGATGTGTGATTCTAGATCCTACTGAGATGAATACTTGACAGTATATTCCTGGGAACTAACATTAAAGAGATGCTTCACTAACTGTCACTATCCCTTTTGGAAACTTGTGATCGCAGCTGGTGACATTGCTAAAATCTTTTATCTGTTGCCATACTTTTTCTTTTGGCTAGACATTACAGAGTGCGGAGTTAGATGGCCAATCAATGTGCTGCATCAGAATCAATAGATCTCAGTAAGCATTCCATTAGGCCCAGGAGCCTTTCCATTTCTCAGTCCTGTCTAGGTTTTGCACACTCTTTCATGAAAAAAGAGAGTTTGGGGATTATTTTCTCTACCTGTAGCTTCTCATGGACAAATGCATCCCCTATTATTGTGGAGATCTAGTCAATAAAGCTGTCAGAATTTAAAAAATATTGACAGTAGAGCCAAGTTCAGTGTACTTAACCTCTGTCGTAAATTCCGGGTGTGAAATATAAGAGAGGGAAATGATATTTATAGGAAAGTGCCTTGAAGTTTTAAAATAAGTTTAAGATGTTAGATGGTAGAAAAGAATCCTGATGTGAAGCTGGAGAGTTGGGATTTTGGCTTGGTTCAGCTGCTAAGAATCCTGGGCTTTTGATGAAATCCCTGCAAAGTGAGAGGTTTTAATCTGATAATTTTTAGTGTCCATAACAGCCCCCAATACTACATTTTTTTACTTCAAAGAGTTTTATTCCCACAAGTCCATTTCAGTCTTAGGTGGATAGGTACCTACAGAATTTATGTGATCCAAATGAAAAATGGCATATGGTTGTTGTTATATGATCTCAGTCCTTTCTTTTCATAGCACCTAAGTCTCTCTTCTTGTTACTTGCCCTCTCTCACAGTCCGCCCCCCTCCCTGCTGATAGCAAGTCAGAACCCATATGACAGTTTTGCCTCTATTTTAGAGCTTAAGAAAATTTTCTCTGATCTCTATCTTCAGGCAAATAGGGCTAGTGTAGTTAGCTTTACCTTCTGCACGTTTTTTCTTGAAGAATCCTAATCCTAGAAATTATGCCCACCTCAAATAACACTTTTATATATAAGTTAGGTTAATGCTAGCAGCTCTAACAGGTGAATGTCAAGCCTCAGGTGACATGACACAAATTGGGTCTTCTTGACCAACTGGTGGCTTTCTTTCAAGCAGTTTCCTTTTAGCCTGTGGCTCTACCATCTTCCAAACAAACCTTTCAGAGTCAACACATTACCCTGCAACAAGACAATGGAAGGGGAAAAACACGGACTGTCATTAATGGAAATTCTTTATGGACCTAAACAGGACATAATGTATCTTGCTTTTATCCATACTCCATTGGCTACCTCCAAAGTGTCTGGGAAACGTTGTCTATCTAGTTCTCCGCCTAGAAAAAAGAAACTAGTTTGATGAACAGCTGGTCCAGTAGTCTCAAATTTTTGAAGGTATCAAAATTACCTGGAAGAAGTGTTAAAACCAAGACTGCTGACCTGAGTCTCAGAGTTTCTGATTCAGTTGGTCTGGAATGGGCCCAAGAATGTGCATTTCTCATAAATTCCCAGGAGATGCTGATGCTGCTGATTCAGAGACAGTGCTTTGGAGACCTCTCCGCTGATGTGTGTTTGCTATACTTCTTAACTCATAACATATGGACTATACTACTTGAGGACTTCTAATCTATACTGGAGAGAGAGGAGAGAAGGGTCATCAATGGAGGAGCAGGAAACCTGGCTTGTAAGGGAGTGTGAGCTCTAGAACACAGGTGACATGAGTTCTGGTTTTGACTTTGCTTAGCTGTGTGACCCTTGCAAGTAACCTCATCTCCCTGAACCTTAGTTTCCTGTAGGTAAAATGGGATAGGATACCATCAGTCCTGCTTAAAACAAGGCACTGTTGAAATCAATTGAGAGAAATATGGGGTGACACAATTATCTTTAAAGCGGACATCAGCACTCCCCTTTGGATAAGAGCCATCTTTTGAAAGGAAAATATATTGACAATTTACTTGGGGGTGGCAATGAAAGGT